GTATTAATGAGATGCAAACTTAAAGTTGATTAAATATTTTTTAATTATTTATCTGTAAGACATGGTCATCCGTAACAACTACAGCAACTTCTACTCACAGGGCAATATTTTTTAATTTTTTTTTTCTCATTTTCCTTGAAATACTTATAATTCACCAAAGCAGCTCACTTATTTGATAAATATTTGGAAAATAAATTCCAAAACTCTTTAATGAATAATTAGCGTACCTTATTTCATTTTAGCGCATAACCTAAGAGTTTATTCGAAACAATTAACTTACCTGCGAATTATAACACCACTGTTTCCATAATATTTTCGTCCGTTACTCCTAGACTTTCGTTTAGATATTTTTTCGGTAATTTCCCGTAATTGACTTTACACAAAAAAGCAACTTTCACGGAACTATTCCACAACTAAAAATTTGGCATCTAGTTTATTTTTCTAATGTTTGATTTAAAAATGTGTTATATAACTGACGGTGGCTGCCAAATATTCTGTTTTATTGTGTCTGATTCTATAAAATGAACATTATTGTCACTTATTTACTATTGACTTTGAACTTATGATGGATCTTGACTTTTTTCTAAGAATTACTCGTACACAAAATCATCATTAAAATATATTTAACGAATAAGCATAAAAATAACACGTATAGATTTGATTTTCAAATAAAAAATTAGTTTTTTGTAAATTTTATTGTTAAAAGATGTCATTTATAACTATAAAACATAAATGCTTATCACTTTATAACCTTTTGTTCTTCTTCTTCGGCTTTTCCCATTATGAGTATTTTCTATTTTCCCAGTCATCTTCTCTGAGGTCTCTATCGATCATAGCATTTCCTATGTATGTTTTCCATCTTGTAGCAGGTCTTCCTCACCGTCTTCTTCCCGGGGGTCCCAGTCCAATATTCTTTTCGGCCACCTGTACTCTGGCATTCTTTGAACATACGCGTACCACTGCAGGGCTATGTTTTCCAACTTTTTTGTAATTGGGCATTCTACTTCCATTCTCTTCCATATTTTGTCTGTTCTTATTCTATCAGCTCTGGTAATTTGTAGACATTTTCTCATAAAGTTGAGTTCAACTGTCCTTATTTTATTTCGTATTTCTTTTTTTGTTTTCTTTGACTCTAAAGACTTAAAAGTCTTACAAAGAAGACTTATAACCTTTTCTGCTACTAATAATAAGAGAAAAGTAAAATTTTGCAAGATAAATAAATACATATTTCAAATCGTTTAAACAAATTACTCAGTTAAATAAACGGTTCATAAACTAAATAAACGCATTTTTATGATCTAGGCCAAGAGTTGCCCCAAACTAAAAAAAACTATCGGTTGATTAGAACCGTAGATATTGTTACTTATATAAATCTGAATTTATGAATTCATCATCATCATCACTGGCTCGTCAACCCTTTTTGGGTCTTGGCCTGGTCCAGGATTCTTCTCCATTCTGATCTGTTTCGTGCTTTTTTTCTCCAGTTTTTTATTTTTTAGGTTGGTATATCATTTTCTATTTGTTCTAAGTATCTCAGCTTCGGTCTTGCTCTTTTTCTTTTTCCTACTGGCATCTGTTTGAATATTTTGTTTGGTATTTCGCCTTCTTCCATTCTTTCTACATGTCTTATCCAACGCAGCCGTCCTATTTTAATTAATGTTATAATATCCGAATCCTGGTATATTTTGTATAGTTCAAAGTTCTATCTTCTTCGCCATATTCCGTTTTCTTTTGTGCTCTTATATATGTGTCGCAAGATTTTTCTTTCGAAGGTGGCTAACAACGTTTTCCCTCTTTTAGTGTGTGTCCATGTTTCTGAGCCGTATGTGAGTACCGGTCTTTATTAGTAGGCGGTTTTATATATTTGGCATTTTGTTCTTCTTGCGACGTTATCTAATCTTAGTTGCCTAATTAAGCCATGGTAACATTTATTGGCAATAAATATTCACCTCTTCAGTTCCTCCGCAACTTTATTATCAGAAGTGACTAGGGATCCCAAGTATATAAAGTTTTTTACCCGCTCAATATTGTATTCTCCTATTGTTATATTTTGTGGCTGCCTTATTTCTGCGTTTTTACTTACCTGCATATATTTTCTCCCTTCTCCCCTATCTCCTTCTTTATACAATAGAATTACCTCAGCATTGTTCCATTTGTCGGGTATATTACTGTCCAAAAGTCACATGTTAAAAAGGTTTTTTATTTTATTAAGTAGGTAGGCAATTATTACACTATAAATAATATGAACTTTAAGTGACGTATATTTGAGTCCAAACTTATATCGGAAATATTTTTAATACCTTCTTCTTCTCTATCCTTTATCCTTCGTAAGAATGTGGTAACGTTATGGTATTCGACATATGGTTGTTATTTATTGTACTCTCTCCTGGGCGTGGAGAACTGCCTCAGACAGAGAATAACCAGTGGAGCTCTTTATTTTAGATTGGTCTGACCATTGAAATGGCGATCTTCCTCAGGCTCCTTTCTCACCATCTAGTTTGCCTTCAACCATTAATCTCCCCATACCTCCATACCATTTTTAATGCACGTATGGCCCATTTGTATCAAGATTTCGATTAAGTGATAAAATTAGTTATTTGCAATAAGTAATGGGCAATATAAAGTGCTTTTCTTTGGAAAAAATAGAGTTTCGACTAACGAAATATCTGTGGTGTGTACAATATAATAATAATTAAAGTAAACATCTGTTCACATTAAAAAAAATACGACACAAAGGATTTCTTTTAATGTTACACAATTTCCAAAGATTGATTTTAATATCTAATACGAAATATGCTTTTATTAGCGCCATAGCTCAAAATATGATAAATTTCCACGAAGTAAAGCCTTTCCCAAACCGTACATTTCTGGAAAGTCAAATAATTAACTTGAGATTTTAGGGTGTTGACGGCGTTTTCCTATAGCCACACCAGGCATATTCATTTAAAATTGCCTCTCGCCACTTTTTGATACTTTCTCCAAATCAGCCAGCAAGAAACAAATAATAAGCTCCTGAGGGAGCTGTAATTTACACCGTGCGTCGTTTGCAGCGCAAAGTTCTTCGTAAAAGATTCATCGCCTAATAGTTCGTAACTTCTAAGCTTCCGTAGATCGCATTTCTGATTTCGATAAGATAATATCAAAGATAGATATCAGGTGAAATCGATAGATAAGGTAGGAATCCTTAAATTTAATGAGGTCGTTAATACACTAAGAAAACGCAAGCTATAATGATTCTGGGAGAAAGATAATTATGGAGAAATATTAAGTTACTACTCCATACAGTAGCTTTCTGATTAATTACTTTTGTAATAACCAAATAAATTCTGGTGTTTTTCAATAATTAAAGCAAATGTAATGTACTGTAATTGAATTGAAGATTTTAAAAATAATAAATAATGGAAGATAAAACCAATAATATTTATAATTATATTAGCTACTTTCTTACACTATGACTGAATATAATTTATCTTGTTTGAATTGATGGAAAATGTCTTTTGACGTATATATTCCCTTCTGTTCTTCCCTTGTTCATATTTATCGTGATTCATGTGTTCTTGAGATTATTTAAAATATAGCTCGTTATTTTGTTTCTTCGTTAGAACTAGCGAAGTGGCATTCAAGTCTTTACTTTATCTGGCAGATCTTTTACTTTGGTTTGATTGTGAATTGAACTAAAGTCATATCAGAAAGAACGACCTACAGCTAGAGCCTCAGAAAACTGAGGTGTTAGTTCTCAAAGAGACCCGGGAAAAATCCTCTTTTCGCTTTATAGTGGAAGGTGTGGAGGTTGCACCGGTTCAATCAATTAAATATCTGGGAGTCTGGTTGTCAGAGTCTAAGGTTCGGAGTACACATCCAAAAGACAATAGAGAAGGCGAACCGAAATCTGGAAGCATTGATACAGTTGATGCCAAACATTGGAGGCCCAGGAAGCACCAAAAGAAAGGTGCTAAATGGAGTTTTCCAGTCGGTAGTAACCTACGCTGCCCTTGTGTGATGTAGTGTACTAAACACTGCGAAATACGCTAAGCTGATGGAGACTTCGCAAACGCGAATGCTCCTCAGGGTGTCTAGTGCATATAGGACAGTCTCGAATGGGGCTCTATATGCCATTGGAGCGGTGATACCGATCGTTTTGTTGTGTAAAGAGCGAGCGAGAATGTATGCGAGGAGGATGGATGTAAATATACATGAGAATGAGAGAGAAAGAACGATAGTAGAGTAGGAGTACAGAGGAGGAAATTAAGCCAGGGATCTAAAAATTTATAGTTAATATTATTTATTAGTTTATGGCCTAATATCGAAACATTTTCTGATTTACGGTAATAGGTATGGTTATTTATAAATTTTTAGTTTTTTATTTTAGTTGTTTATTGAATGGCAAGACCACCTCCCTGGAACGGTGGTTAAGGTTTTAGCCGGAACACGGTTAATCCGGCACTGCCCTGGGGTCTTCTGGCTTAGTATCCTACTCGGCCGAAAGATGCCAGGGTGTCTTGTTCCGTGACGTATGTGTCCAAAAAAGATTTCCCCCACCGTTGCCTGTCAGAATCCAATGGATACCTTATTAGGCTCTTACTAGAATCTGGCAATATGGCAATTAACATTTATTAATTGTTAGTTGAATGTCAGTCTTCCTGTTTTTGCTCCTGTTTTAAATATATCTTTCCAGAACGTTCGTCTTTGGAGCCCTATTCTATCTATATGTTGCCTTGAGACATCCAATATATCCATTTTTCTGTATCTCGGCCCATGTGAACAAGAGTAGTATTATAGCCATCACACATGCGGTCTTCTTCTTTTTTGCTCAGCTGTCCATGATATTCCAATCTGATTTAACTTTTTTGCATCTACCATTTCTTTGTTTAATACTATGGCGGAAGAATTTCTTTTCCATTTTTTGATATTTGGCGAATAGAATTTTTAGAACTAGAACTTAGAATTAGAACTTTTATTAATTTTATATGCGATTTTGTTACTAATAACACTTTTTTCAGAACTACGTTAAAACAAACTACCTCAACTCAACCAAAGATGGATAAGATGGAAAAGAATGATATTCTAACCATAAAATGGCTTTATAATGCCGTAGAACAATTAAAGACTGAAGTATTGGAAGTCCAAGAATCTTTAAACTCTTCCAAGATTCTAGAAAACCACGAAAAGGCCGAAACGAAACTAACTCTCCTCCAGAGCGACATGGCCAGTTTAAACGCGGAACTGGATACCGCAAAAATACGAAACGCAAAATATGAAGCCGATATGCAAATACTCAAGGAAGAATTGAGAATGGCTCGGGAGAAGAGTAGAAATACTGCTGAGATGTGTGGGAGATTAAAGAACCAAGTAAGTTTTCATATCCTACAATGCTTTTTGTTGCTTAATTAATAAATTTTTAATCTCCATTGAGACAGAAATATTTTAATTTATATTTATTTTCTTCTCTAGCAATTTGTTCAGTCTGTCACATCTACCTAAGATTTTCCGCCTTATTACATTCTCTGAAATCCAGTTTTATATTTTCTTGAATATATTTTGAAATATCTGTACTGATGAGTCAGTTCTTTATCACAACCATAGTAAATATATAATGACGAGATAATTTAACCTTTAGCGGTTGTATTTTATTATAATTTGTCTGTTTCAAGTCAAACTAGATAAAATAATTAATAAAGTCGGTCAAATTAAGTCGCCATTTTCGATCAACAACAACCTCGCTGAAGGCTATAGAATAAACACATCCTGAACGGTTCTCCTCCTTGAAAAAATGCCAAAAATTGAGTTTTTTTTTTGAAAGAATGCACGCAATGTCCCTGTGGCCTGAGGGCCTTATCAAGTTACATAATAAATAATCTTTTACCAGACGATCGCACGGCGATTACCTTCTGTGCGATATAAAATGAAGTGTTCTGTATTAGAGATGGGCGAGATTTCGCAGCCAGTTATTTTATAATAATAAAAATCCACAGCCAAAGGTTTACATCGCGATGTGTAGATATTTATTCTAAAGAAAAAATATGTATTTATATATATATATATATATATATATATATATATATATATATATGTATATATATATATGTATATATATATCTGTACCGTAGAGGTAAAGGGTAGTAACTCCATTTTTTTCTAATTTGGACTTAATACTGTGGCTAAGCTTAATATGTTCCAATCTTATTTGTGGCAAAATATGGTATGTGAAATATTACTGGTGGCCTAGATATTCTTGTAAGAAAAAGTAGTATATCCTTTGGAGAACGAGGTAAAGCATAGTAACTCCATGAGCTGTCGGATTTGTTTATCGGTTACGCTATTTCGCGCGCGGTAAACAGCAGTATCTCCATACTAGTGTTAGTTACCTTAATTGACAGAACGATCCAAAACTGCCAAGAAATATCTAGGACTAAAATTAAGCCGTGAAAAAATGTAAAAATTATATATCTTAAAGTGTGAAGACCACATTCCATAGAATGAAATTGTTAAATTATGGCTGTATAAAAAATTTTTTAATAATGATTTTAATTTAGCATTTAAATCGGTTTCCGTGGATACTTGTGATAGTTGCGATCGGTTTATGCTACAATTAAAAAACTGTTCCGAGCAAGAAAAAATAACATTACGGCGAAATTATAAACAGCATTTTCAAGAAGCAGAAAGTCGATACAAAATGAAAGCAAACTATAAAAAGGAAAGCAGACAATCAGCTGGAAAAACTAAAATTATAATGTGTGATTTGCAGAAATGCTCGCCTACGCCTTATTTGACAAATAACCAAAGTTTCTACAAGCTGAAATTATGGACTCTAAATTTCACGATATACGACGCCATAGAAAATAAATCGTATTGCCTTATCTGGGATGAATTCGAAGCTGGAACTAAATGGGCTATAACAGTTTTATCACAAACTGATGTGGAAGAATTAGTTATATGGTCAGATAGTTGCCCTAGTCAAAACCGGAATGTTATGGTAATGATGAGCTACTTTTGGCTTTTGAACATCTGCCCTCATTTGAAAGTAGTTAACCATAAATATTTACTGAAAGGACACACTCATTTAGAAGCTGACCAAGCTCACGCTATAATTGAAAGATCTGTAAAAAACAGCCAACAATGCAGATTGTAACGCCTTGAAATTGGCAGCAATTAATCAGTTCCGTAGGTGCTCAGGTAATTAAAATGGACAAAGATGACTTCAAAAATTTTGAAGTACTTTACACTCGGTCTCAATCCCCATTCATCAGTAAATAGAAAAATACCGACAATAATAATTTCTTTATTTCAAACGTAGTCCAATTCCAAGTAAAAAGACACACTGACCATAATTTTTTATAAAGAGGCATTTAAAGAAATTAGACCCAACGAATTGCACGTCGCTAGAAGAACAGCAACTGCGACCGATCTTCCAGAGCAGTTACCACTACGATATTAAAAACCAAAAGGGATTACACAGAAGGAAAAGGATCACTTACTAATACTTTTACAATGAATCTTCAGTCAGTTTCATGAGTTCTATAGAAATTTAGTTGTTATCAAAAAAAAATGTTGATAGCGATGATGAATAAATGTTTTTTTATCATTTTTTGTGTTTTTGTTTGAGTTTATGTAGGCACTTACTATTTTGTACACTGTTTTATCTGCTGGTACATGCCGAGGCAAAAGACCTTAAGTCCCAATATAATCCAATATATAAACAAATTTTTTATCACAGTAGGACAATATTGATTAACTTATATATAACGTTACAATTATATAAATACATAATTTCATCTGTCTTCAGATTAAGAATGATTGCAATAATTTTCTGGAACTCATCTTATTTTCCCATTATCTCAAAACTTCACTAGGTGGATATACTACCCTTTACCTCTACGGTACAGATATATATATATATATATATATGTATATATATATATATATATATATATATATATATATATATATATATATATATATATAATTATATATAGGGTGGGCCGCCGGTAACGCCTCGGTCTGTACAGCCGAAACAAGTATTATTTTCAAAAATCGGTTTACGCTACGAGGCCAAGATCCAAAAAGGCTACTTTTTAAAAATAATTTCAATTATACAGGGTGCTCAAGGAAAGTGCTACACATCAAAGTTATGTTTTTTTAAATGGGACACCCTGTATTTTATTGCATTTTTGAATTCTAAGAACAAAATAAGTGTCACTTTGTTAAAGGTTTGTTATACTTAGAGTCTACCGTTTTTGATATATCCAAGTATTTTTAAAAATAAGGGATGTTTAAAACTGTCCAAATATGGATATAGGGAATATTTATATTTTTTGAGAGGTATTTGAAATACCTTTCATAAAATTAAAAAATATACTAGGTGTCACATTTAAAATACAGCAGTTTTTAATGTTTAAAGGTGCCACTAATAAATATCTAATTCGCAAACACCCTGTAAAATATTTTTGAATAGTAAGTATTTGATTTTAGAGCACAATTAATTCTTAATCTTCCATAAAAAAATTAATTTTAAATATTAGGAAATTTAAGAGTTATTGGCATGTTTTAAACATCCCTTATTTTTAAAAAATACTTGAATATATCAAAAACGGTAGACTCTAGGTATAACAAACCTTTAACAAAGTGACACTTATTTTGTTCTTAGAATTTAAAAATGCAATAAAATATAGGGTATCCTATTTAAAAAAACATAAATTTGGTGTGTAGCACTTTCCTGGAGCACCCTGTATAATTGAAATTATTTTTAAAAAGTAGCTTTTTTGGATATAGGTCTCGTAATGAAAATGAATTTTTGAAAATAAAATTTGTTTCGGCTGTACAGACCGAGGCGTTACCGGCGGCCCACCCTGTATATATATATATATATATATATATATATATATATATATATATATATATATATATATACACGAAATACTGAATATTAGTGACTGTCGATATAAACAAACAACAAAGTTTATTAGGGCTGTAGTCAGAAGTTTGGCCGGGATGTTACATAAACACTCTTTTGACTTTTGGTCTAGCTTTCGGAATTGTTTAATTCCTTTTTCAAGACATAGTCGTTGAGTTATTTATATAAAGCTATGACACTCAACATTTATAACACACATTAAAATATAAAAACTATAAAATAATGGACAAAATACATTTTAAAATTTAGTTAAAGATAGTAAAACTTCATGTGTGACATCTTTTGGTGTGTTTTAACTGTTAAACTTAATATTCTTGACAACATTCAGCTTGTTCGTATGCTTTTTAGGGTTCAAATCTTTGATGGCCGAACTATACAGCAATACAGGGAATATATAGCAGCATATTAATAATTTTTTATTTTATTGTAATATTTTTATGTAAGAGAATTTTCTTTAGTTTATAGAAGGCTATTCGGGTATTTTTATTATGTAGTGATATTTTTTTGCTCATATTCCAGATATTAACATTGAAACAGTTCATTTTGTTGTTTCATATGCTCTGATCAATATTGGTTACGTATCTGTTTTGCTGCTTTGCTCCTTCTGTTTCAGCCAAGGTTTCTTTGAATTAAAAACATAAAAATACCTTCTATATTTTTTGAAAGTTGAACATGGAGAATCTGTTGGGTTAGCCTTAGCGTGAGCCCGATACGAAATATGTTCGCGCCCAATTTGTTTAAAGTTTTATTCGATTTTGTTCACTGCTTTATTGTTCACTTCGATATTGTCCACACTTCTTAGAATCGCTGCTTTTGTCGACGTTAGTATTGTTACATCTTCTGCAAATATGCACAAACATACATTCACATGAACATATTAATTCACCAAACCCGGTTAAAATTACAAATGTTAAAAATTCACAGAAACGAATATCAATGTTGTATGTCACGAATATTCTCATCTCTATGGAGACTGCAAGGCAGAATTTCATAATACGCGCTTCTACATATCAGAGAATGTTAAAAGCTTTCAATGCATTTAAAGTGGAGCAGTACTACAGACAGAGGGATGCCGCTACCAGTTTTTAAACTTTCTAATTATTTAATAAAGAAAAGACGTTGTAGGGAATTTTCGAAATTGTAGTAATTCTTTAAGAGAAGATAGAAATTTTTAATTCATCATACAAACAGTTTATGTGCAAAGTTAAAATTAATATTTAAATATGTTTCAAAACATTTTTTACGAAAATTGAACTTAAAAAATTGTAGCCGCAGAGCAAAGAGCAAAATTAATCGAATTTTACTTTCGTATGGGTGTGAAGTAAAGGGTGGCTAGCAGTATTGAATTTCAGAATTTATGGTTATTTTCCATGAAAAAATTTTTAATTAACGTGTTCACAATGTTCGAGAAATTATGTTTGACTGTTTGAATGTTTGT